TATATATGTATATTTTTAGTTGTCCAGCTAATTTCTTTCTATTTTTCTAGTAGAGACAGGCTCTTGCTCTTGCTCAGGTTGGTCTAGAACTCCTGAGCTCAAACGATCCGCCCACCTAAGCCTCCCGGAGTGCTAGGATTACAGGTGTGAGCCACCACGCCCGGCCGCAACTGGCATTTTTTAAATGCAGTAGAATAGAAAATATCAGAACGCATCATACATAGTGCCAGTATGTATTGCATTGAGAAACTTCTATTTCACCTATTTATATTATACACTTATATATGTTCTGGGTTGTAATATAAAATGTAGTTTTCACTATGGGTCTCTCTAAAACCTTCTGAAAATAAATTTGCCAAGTTCTCTTGCAGCTTGAAAAATTCCAAATCTCAGTTCTTTGGTAGTGAATTTTTTTTTTCTTTGTGACAGAGTCTGGCTCTGTTACCCTGGCTAGAGTACAGTGGTTTCATCATAACTAACTGCAACCTCAAACTGCTGGGCTCAAGCAATCCTCCTGCTTCAGCCTCCCAAGTAGCTAGGACTACAGGCACTGCCACTACGCCTGAATAACTTTTTCCATTTTTGGTAGAGATAGGGTCTTGCTCTCACCCAGGCTGTTCTCGAATTCTTGACCTCACAGGATCCTCCTGTCTCAGCCTCCCAGAGTGCTAGGATTACAGGCATGAGCCACCATGCCTGGCCTAGCAGTGATTTTTTTGAACAGATCTTGCGTTGGAAGTGCCCATATAGCACCATGTGCTGTCCAGTTTTGTCTTCTGTTGAGGTGCTCCCTGCCTTCCCCCGGCCCCAGCACTGCCTCCAGACTTCCCCCAGTGTGAGGGGCTGGTGCTGTGATTTCTCAGAGCAGCAACCTCTGAGCAGCTCTGTCCTGCCAAGCCTCTCCACCAGGATCTGGAAGAGCCACCATAAGACCCAGCTGCTCCACTGGCACCTGCAGATCTTGTGTCTTCCAAAGAAACCTGGCTTGGGAATGGACAGTTCCATGAGCTGGCAGCCTGCCCACAAGATTCTTCCCCTGCCCCCCTGTTTTCTTTCTTCCCTAGCTCACTCTCTGTGTCTGCACTTAGGTTTCTCAGGCCGTACTGTTGTCGGCTTTCTGTTTTTGTTTCTGTAGTAGTTTACTGATCCCTGCTTTCTTTGAAAGGAGGAAAAAATCCCCAGGTACTTCGTAGCTTTGGTTAAATCAGATCAAATCACTTTGTTTAATCTACCTGGCTGGTCCTGAGTATTCCCAGGAGAGGTTCATGCCAAACTATTCTAGAGGTTTCACTGTGCAAGTTACAAAAATATTCTTTGGCTTCCCTATCTTTGCTGGTACCCTGGCCCTGCCTGAGAAGCCCACTTTCCACCTTGTCCCTTCTGCTGCAGCTTTCTCAGCCAGCCAAGTGCCAGAGAAGCTGGATGTGGTGGTGATTGGCAGTGGCATCGGGGGCCTGGCTGTAGCTGCGATTCTGGCTAAAGCTGGCAAGCGAGTCCTGGTGCTAGAACAACATACCAAGGCCGGGGGCTGTTGTCATACCTTTGGAAAGAATGGCCTTGAATTTGACACAGGTAAGGCTTGTGTGGGAAGGGGTTGGGAGCCTGGCTGTATCTTCAGGAGGCTTGGAACAGCCCCTGTGGGGTGACACTGGCATTCCATGGTTTTGGACGTGTCATCTGTCTTCTCTCTGGGCACTTCTCTTGTCTGACAGCCATACCTACTGGGAGCTGAACCGGGCAGGGATCTGGTGGTTTCTGCTGCGACACCTTCCTACAGAAACGGTGAGCAGCCCCCTCTGGGCATGCTCTTAACCGGGCTGGACAACCGCTTCCACTTTACTTCGTCACCCACCTTTCCAGGGCTCAATCCCTTTATTCCTTTGCCACCGTGTTTTTCCCTCTCCAACAAGGAATCCATTATATCGGGCGCATGCAGGAGGGCAGCTCTGGCCGTTTCATCTTGGACCAGATCACCGAAGGGCAGCTGGACTGGGCTACCCTGTCCTCTCCTTTTGACATCATGGTACTGGAAGGGCCCCATGGCCGAAAAGAGTTCCCCATGTACAGTGGGGAGAAAGCCTACGTTCAGGGCCTCAAGGAGAAGTTTCCGCAGGAAGAAGCTGCCATTGACAAATACATGAAGCTAGTTAAGGTAACATGACTACGCTGAGGACCCCCAGTTATTCCTGACAAGGCTGAGCTTCCTCATTAGTGGCGTGACTGGTGGGGAGTGACTGGAGGAGGGGAGGCAGGAAGGGAGGAAGAGAGATGAGGCCTGTTCCCCATGGCTCATTTTCTTCCCCAGGTGGTATCCCAGGCAGCTGCTCATGCCATCCTGTTGAAGTTCCTCCCATTGCCTGTGACTCGGCTCCTCGACAGGTGTGGGCTGCTGACTCGTTTCTCTCCACTCCTTCGCGCATCCACCCAGAGCCTGGCTGAGGTCCTGCAGCAGCTGGGAGCCTCCACTGAGCTCCAGGCAGTGCTCAGCTACATCTTCCCCACTTACGGTGGGTACTGGCCATGGGCTCTAGGCAGCTCCAGGAGGAGGAGGGGCTGCCCTTCCGGCTCTCGATCGTTCTTCTGGACCTGGCTGACTGAAATGGAGCAGTGTAGAAACCCCAGGCCCTCTGGAGCTTGTGGCTGAGACGTCTGGCCACTTGCTGGACTCCCTGGTGGAAATTCCCTTCATCTACACCCTGGGTGATTTTTCTGTTCCATCAACACTGTCCTCCTGGGTCTTGGCAGCGTGGCAGTTTGCAGGGAGGATATTCCTGCTGGCCCTGAGAACTCTAATGTACCCCATGTCTGGATAGAAGTGGCTCCTCTGGCTGCCCTGGAGCCTGGGGAACATTTGCAACCTCGGATGGACTCGGGTTGCATGTTAGCTCACCGGAATCCGTGGGCTTTTCCGAGTGGTGCTGGTGCCTGCTCGTCACCCTTCCTTGTGTCCTTCTGCAGGTGTGACCCCCAGCCGCAGCGCCTTTTCCATGCATGCTCTGCTGGTTAACCACTACTTGGAAGGGGCCTTTTACCCCCGAGGGGGTTCCAGCGAGATTGCCTTTCACACGATCCCTGTGATTCAGCGGGCTGGGGGTGCTGTCCTCACGAAGGCCACTGTGCACAGTGTGTTGCTGGACTCAGCTGGAAAAGCCTGTGGTGAGAGCCCCACACTGTGCTTCGGGGGTCCCTGGGTTGGTGTGGGGGCAACCTGAGGCCTCTCTGGGGAGAAGGTATAGAAGAACTGACCTCCTTATGGTGGTTAAAGGCTAGGATCTGCCTCAGAGCAGAGGCCAGGGGATAGTGATTAGTCTGGAGGTAAAAAGGAAGCAGGATTAGCTGGGCATGGTGACGTGTACACCTGTGGTCCCACCTACTTGGGCGGCTGAGGCAGGAGGATCGCTTGAGCCCAGGAGTTTGAGGTTGCAGTGAGCTATGATGATGCCACTGCACTCTAGCCCAGCAACAGAGCAAGACTCTGTATCAAAAAAAATAAAAGCTGGAAGGATGAAAGCTTGCATGGTCCCCAAAGAACAGGATTTAATCGTTTATTCAATAAATAAAAATATCCAGTAATCCATGACCTTCTTGAGTGTAGGGGCTCCATTTTCTCTTTATGTCTATAGATCTTAACACTTAATAGAGGCTCAATAAATGCTTCTTCAGCGATTCGTGGGACGAATGCTGGGCATTCCACAGGGCAATGTGGAGGCCAGGAGGATGCCCTGCCCTCAATCCGTGGGGCCTAGAAGCTTGTTCTTCTGGCTCAGGTTGGTGCTGCTGCCTGCATAGACACTGAAAACTTCACTGTGAGTGAGCTGTTTGAAGAGGGCAACTCTGCAGGGAAGAAATCCTTGAAACAGCAGGGAACTGAACGGGCCACCCACAACTGGGGTGTACTTAAAGAAGCATCAGGGAAGGGGACTAAAAGAGGCCTGAGGGAAACAGGGTCGGTGTGAACATGAATTTGCCAGATGAACCTTTTGGGATGGAGGAGGTGGTCAGTGGGGGGCCCAGGACAAAATAAAACAATTAAGAAGAGGCCAATCAGTGATCTCAAAGAATGCATTCGTTGAAGGGACTGAGAAACTGGGGCAGTTACACAGAGCTGGCTGTCGGTCATGCAAAATTTTCTCTGATGTCCGTGAGCAAGTTCTCCTTCCCGCTGAGAGGGGTAATGGCAATAAAAATTAGAAATAAAAGATAAACAAGTCCCAACCTAGATCTCAGTAAGTTTCCAATCTCATAGGGAAGATCACTGAAAATTTAAGTGTCACATGGATGCATACACTAAAGACAGAGGTGGCATACAGCAGGTGGGACGTGGACAGCCTCACGGAGACAGAGGTGCTTGAGCTGCGTCATAAAGGGTGACATGAAGCTAGCGAGCAGATGAGGTTGGAGGAGATGATTCCAGGAAGGGGAAGCGCCATGTGCAAAGGCATGGAGATATGAGCCTGAGCATCTTCAGGCACCCAGAAGTATTAGGTTGACCATAAGAAATCATCATTTTATAAGTCAAAACATGGTTGAATATCAGCTGTTTGATATGGTGCTGCCTAATATACTCTGGAATAGCCAGAGATGAGGCTGGATGCACAGACGGGCCCAGATCACCCAGGCTTCTACGAGATTTTGGAGGTTCCGTCGAGGCATCATTGGAGGGTTTTGAAGACAGTATTTTGGAAACAACTCTGGGAGCAGTGAAGGGGGCCCTGGGATTCCATCAGAAGGGCTTCAGCCCAGGAACTGTGGGCCTTTGGCTAAAGTACAGACAGAGTCCCCACACATGGGCATATGTGGAAAGAGCTACTGGACGTAAGCCCAGAAGTGATTGCAGGATAGGCTGAGAGTGCTTGAGGGGAATGGCTCCCTTCGCAATTTGCCTGGGACCTGCCCTGCCTGGCCCTGGGAGGCTGGGACTCCCTAGTCTCTTAGGCTGGGAGAGACCGATGGAGGATATGGGCCTTCCTCTGCTTCCTTGGAGCTCACACACCCTCAGCCAAGCTCTTGTGCCTGCAGGTGTCAGTGTGAAGAAGGGGCATGAGCTGGTGAACATCTACTGCCCCATCGTGGTCTCAAACGCAGGACTGTTCAATACCTATGAGCACTTACTGCCAGAGAACGCCCGCTGTCTGCCAGGTAAAAGACCTGTGTAGCTCCTCTTGCGAGGTCCCCAACATTTCCCCTTCTGGAGCAAACTTGCTCTGCTTCTGGGCTGCCCCTCTGACTGTCCTTAAGCAGAAAAGGTGAGAACACCGGTCTCTAACAGCATCCTAACCCTAGAGTTTATGATTGGGGAAACTGAGGCCCACATAGGGGAATTAACTTCCAGGGGCCACCAAGCTGAAAGTGGCATTGCCGAGAGGCGAAGCCTGGTCTGTTTTGAAAGGCCGGGCTCTGCAGCCCTCTGGGCTGAGAAGTGTGGGGTTTGCAGAGAAAGGGGCTCAGGAAGAGGCAGGAGAGCAGGTCAGCTCACAGGGAACAGTGGCCAGGCTGACGTTAGGTGAGAAGTTACTTCAGGGTGTCGTGTAACCAGACACTACTGGTGTGATCTGAGGAAAGGAGGCTGCTGGCCAGAGGGAACAGTAGTAACCCAGGAGGGTGAGACAGGTCCAGAGGCCTCTGGTTGGGGCTGGAGGTGGAGGGCATTAAGCAGCCCAGCATGGGGATGCGACGGAAACCAGGGCCTTCTGTGGTGCACGAGGAGCCAGAGAGCAGAGGGGAAGGAGCTCTGCACCCCAGAGGGCCGCCCAGGGGCTGCTGTCCGAGGAGCTGGGGAAGGGGGCAGCAGAATGGGTCGGGTGGAAAAGTGAGGTCTGGCTGTCCTTGAGGGCACTGGGTGGGGTGGGAGTTGTGACTGTGCCATAGGGTTGGTACCACCAAACACCAGCCTCTCCTTCCTTTGCCTCCCCTGCTTGCTGCCCACTCGGGCCTCCCCTCTCCCAGAGTGGGGGAGCTGACTGAGGTGAGGCAGAGACTGCCAGGGCCAGGGCAGCGGGGCCAGGCATGGGTGGACATTTGCCTCTGCTGCTTCCCATCTGCCTGTGACCCTTCTCTGCCAAGTCCTCCCCTCTCTGCCAGGACCCGTGAGCCCTGACATGTCCCTGACAGGCCCGAGGGTCCTAACCAGGCCTGTGTCCTCTCCAGGCAGCCATGCTGGAGTTCCCTATCCTGCCTCCCCTTCCCTCACAGTCAGGTGACATTTTCACTGCCCCTGCATATCTTCCCCATGAGTACAAGCTGAGGTCCTCAACTGATAACTGGTGAAATGAATGAAGCAGAGCAGCCAGCAGCCCAATCATCCCTTAAGCACGGTCCTGGGAGTGGGAACAGAGCACAAGAATTTGTGGGTGCAGCTTCCAGAACACTGGTCCTGAGTCACCTGCTCAAGGTTGGGAGGCCCAGCTGTCAGGTCCGGGGGACATCAGATGGTCCACACAGTGGTTGCTGCTCTGCCACAGTGCTGTTCCCCACTCCTCCCTCTAGCCGAGTCCTCAGATGCCTGGTACCATTCAGGCCGTTTGCCTCTGCTCTCCTGCATGGCTTGCCACCTGGAGGCCTTGCTCTGACAGAACTGCACGCCAGGAACGATGCACGTTCACTCCCTAGATGGCTTGTATTACAGTTAACACTGAAATCGAGGCTTATGGCACACTGCTGTTCGCTTGTGTGGTCTGCACAGGTGGGAGCCCCATCGTGCGCTGCTAACTTCAAGACACTAAGGGAAGTTAGCCTGACCATCCTGCAGGTGCTGAGAGCCAGCTCAGGGAGCCTGGAGGCCCCGGGCTGGGTGTCACCTACCTCTCAGGGGGCTCCGAGTAGTGGTGGGGGCAGTTGGAGGAGCAGGAGTCTGGGGCTGTGTCCTTCCCAGGCAGGAGACAGAAGAGCAGGCAGAGCAGGGGCCCTGCCAAGTTCATGTTGAAACAACAGCTGTGGCCTGGCCCTACCTTTGAAATGAGCGGACATCGAGAGGCTCTCCTGGAGCAGGCAGTGGCCATCTGTGGCCACAGTCCCTGCAGTCCTTGGTGACGCCCTTTGGCAGGTGTGAAGCAGCAGCTGAGGATGGTGCGGCCTGGCCTGGGCATGTTCTCTGTTTTCATTTGCCTGAGAGGCACCAAGAAGGACCTGGGTCTGTCGTCTACCAACTACTATGTTTACTATGACACGGATATGGACCAGGCGTAAGGCGTGTGTGTGTGTGTGTTTGTGTGTGTGTGTGTGGCCCGTGCTTCTCCTGGACACTGGGGAATGTGCAGAGGATGTGAAACGGGAGGAAGTGGACAATTTCCAAATTGCTTCCACACTGTGGGGAGTCCCTGGGGACAAACTGACCTTGGGCTGGTGCAGGTGGCTTTGAGGACAGAGGCCTGGAGATGTGCAGCCACACTCCTCTCGCCCACAGGATGGAGCGCTACACCTCCATGCCCAGGGAAAAGGCCGCAGAACACATCCCCCTTCTCTTCATCGGCTCCCCATCAGCCAAGGACCCAACTTGGGAGGACCGATTCCCAGGTGGGGCTTCAGGGCCTGGTGAAGCGGGGGCCGGAGTGGGGGACAGGTAGTTGGGGGAAGGCACCAGGCAGTAGTGACGCAGCTCTGATCCACAGACCGGTCCACGATCATCATGCTGGTGCCCACCGCCTATGAGTGGTTTGAGGAGTGGCAAGCGGAGCCGAAAGGAAAGCGGGGCAATGACTACGAGACCCTCAAAGACTCCTTTGTGGAAGCCTCTGTGTCGGTGCTCATGAAACTGTTCCCGAAGCTGGAGGGGAAGGTACGGGGCAAAGCATGTGGGGTGGGGACAGACCTCCTGGTGCCATTTCTGCCCGTTCCTTAGGACAGGGGAAGAAGGCCCCAAGAGAAGTGGGGCCCAGGGAAGGACAGGGCACCATCCCAGTCAGCACATTCAAGAGAGGGGGAAAGGGGCCGGGCGCGGTGGCTCACGCCTGTAATCCTAGCTCTTTGGGAGGCCGAGGCGGGTGGATTGTTTGAGCTCAGGAGTTCGAAACCAGCCTGAGCAAGAGCGAGACCCCGGCTCTACTAAAAATAGAAAGAAATTAATTGGACAACTAAAAATATATAGAAAAACTTAGCCAGGCATGGTGGCACATGCCTGTAGTCCCAGCTACTCGGGAGGCTGAGGCAGGAGGATCGCTTGAGCCCAGGAGTTTGAGGTTGCTGTGAGCTAGGATGACGCCACGGCACTCTAGCCCGGGCAACATAGTGACACTCTGTCTCAAAAAAAAAAAAAAAGAGGGGGAAAGGGAAAAGAGACAGGAGATCAAGAGTTCCCGCTGCCCCCTTGGGCTACTTTTTTGCCTCCTCAGGTGGACAGTGTGACTGGAGGATCCCCACTGACCAACCAGTTCTATCTGGCGGCTCCCCGCGGGGCCTGCTACGGGGCTGACCACGACCTGGGCCGCCTCCATCCTTGTGTGATGGCCTCCTTGAGGGCCCAAAGCCCCATCCCCAACCTGTACCTGACAGGTACACTCACTGCCCTCTTTTGCCAGGACCTGAGACCTTGGGCCCCCTGTCACCCAAAGTCCTCTACTCCTGTCCTCAGGCCCTGCTGTCCCCTGCAGGCTGTGGCCCCGGTCCTGATCTGGACCAGCTTTGGGTGGCCCTAGCTCCGAGGGATGGAGGGATGAGCATCACAGCCCTGGGCCTCCCCTCTGCTGTGTGGGTGGATACTCAGGGGCCTCTGTTCTTGCCTTCTAGGCCAGGATATCTTCACCTGCGGGCTGATGGGGGCCGTGCAGGGGGCCCTGCTGTGCAGCAGCGCCATCCTGAAGCGGAACTTGTACTCAGACCTTAAGGGTCTTGCCTCTAGGATCCAGGCAGAGAAGAAGAAGAATTAGAATTAGTTCCGTCAGGGAGGTGTCAGGAATTTGGCCAGTGGCTAGGGCAGCTCCCCCGACTTCCCATGTCTTTCTGTACTAGTTCCTTGCACATGGAAAGCACTCTAATTTGGTTCTGATTTCTGAATAGATGCCTAGCGTAAATCATACTTTTGAAACTGAAGCTCTCCCAGCTGGGGCAGACGATGATCTTCACACCTTTGGTGGCATGCCGTCACTACTAAAAGGCCCAGCGTGGGCTACTGATTTGGCTGGCCTTGGCTTGCTCTGCACCCCTTACCCGTATCTCCCGACTCTCCACAATGAAATCAAATATTCCATTGGTCAGGGGGATGGAGCCCTTACACTACTTGTCAGCCCAAGCAGGTGGGTCCAGTTCTGCCCTGAGGCTTCTTCTGTCATACTTAGAGCTGCGCTGCAGAAGTCTACACTGTTGAGGGAAGAGGGTGAGCAATGAGGATTTAGTCAAAACCTGGGCATGGGTGTGGTTACACTTCCACAGGTTCAAAGGGCTCCAGGTGCCATCTGTGCTGGCTCCAGTGGCTGTTGAGAGGACAGGAAATACCCCCGGCAGGGTTAGTGTGATCCTAGAGGTGGGGGTAACTACTAGACCCATTAATTAGTAAGGCGCTTATTAGGAGAGCATAGCCAATTTGGTCTGCCTTCCTTACAAGTGGGGTGGCATCTGTTCTCAACATGCCAGTGCCAAGACACCCTCAGGGAGCTCAGCACATGGGCCTGGCCTCTAAGAGGATAATGGAACAGTGATGTCAGGACTCAGGGCACAGACCAGCAAGAAGATGACGTCGCTGGGTTTCTGAAGCAGGCTGATGGGGCATTCCAGGCAAGGGCACAGCTGAGGACAGCGCAGGGAGGCAACAAGAGTGTACCCCAACAACTGCCCACCTACCTCCTGAATACAACACACGCTGCTGGGCATGGGAGAGGGGCGTGGGGATGGGAAGTCGGTCTGGGTCAGAACATGGAAAGCCACAAAATGCGTACAAAGCCCAGAAATGGCATTTGCAGTTAGTTTACTGGTACATCTGTGAGGGCTGAATGATATAGTGAATGAAGACTCAAGGTTCACGGAAATCACCTTTCACTTGTGTTAAACTGAGCACCAGGGTCTTATTTTAGTCCATGGTCATAGAACATTAATAAATTGGATGATTTCATTGCCTTAACATCTGCAATTTAATTTGGTTTTTGTTCAATGACACAAAACTGCATTGCAATGGCATTTACAGAAGCTCAGTAAAACATGTACTGAAACACACTTATCATTAGACCACAAGGAGCTTAAAAAACAAAAAATTAAGTAATTATAGTTAAGTTACAAACAGCTGAAAATGTAAAACATTGCAAAACGGTGGCCATCTTTGAATTGGGCAAACAACAAAGAAGAAAAACAATTTTGACAGTCATTTATTGAACACAGTGTCATATGAATTAAAGGAGTATCTATGAGTGTGTCAGGGGCTGGCTTATTGGCAGCTTGAAATACTATACAGCTCAGTCCCAAACCCTTTACACAGGAAATTTAGGAAATTCACATCTGATTTGTGGAACCAGCTGAGTTGGCAGGCACTCTTCACTCTGGATGTACACACAGTTAAATTAAACCTGAAAATTTCTCTGTCACTCAGTTGAGCAAGGCATGACAAACCCAACCTTCCTACCAAGGGTTTGCAGAAAACAGCTGGGCAGAAGCACAGGGCCTGGTGCCTCACACATTCTCCTTCATGCGCAGGTGGTTCAGACACACGCCCAGCACTATAGCTCTCAGGTTACCCTGTACAAACAAGGACCAGGGAAGACAACCAGCATCGCCAGAAGGGAATGCTAGAGCTTTAGTATTCTGTTACCAAATGTGTCATTGAGAACCATTGTGGGAAAAAACTGTCTGAATCCACACAGCTAGTTGTCAGGTCTTTCTGAGTTATCTTGGCCTTCCTAGATAGACTGGCCTTCAACTCCCCTGGAGTCCAGAAATGGACTCTTTCAGTGCTTCTACTCAGTAACCTTCAGCAGTAAAACAACTTTCTCTATTAGCATCCATGACTGAAGCATAGATTCCTCCTAACAGAAACCACCCTTCACCCAAAAACTGGGCGCAGGAAGGGAAGGGCATAGCTGGCTGTATGGGGTGCTTCCTGTGGCCCCAAGTGCTTCCTACCCGCCACCCCCCAGCCCTAGCTTGAGAGGTGCTTCCAGCCAGCTCGCCCTCATCCACATGATCTCTAGGAAAATATGCTTCAAATATTCTCTCTCTAAAAAAAGCCATCCAGAAAATAAGTTTTCCTTCGGTGTGCAATATTTCCATCAGTGCAATTTCTAAAGGGAAACTTAAATTCTATTGTACTCTTTTGACACAACAAACACTACTTCTCAGAGGCTCAAAAGCTGAGCTCTGGGGACTCCATGACAACACGTACATGTCCACTGGCTCCCACCCTCTTCGTTTCTGATACCAACCTGTCTTCCTGCTCTCCTCTTTAAGAGCAAAACCCAACATGTATTAGGTCACAGCATGCAGCAGCCAGGAAGAGCCAGGGGACCCCTCATCAAGTCACATCCAGGTGGCATGAAGAAAGAAAACATCTCCTCTACCAGAAGCAACTGATCTCCTGAAGTTCTAAGGAATGTCACTATGCTACGCAGATAGGAAGACAGTGCCAAGGCTGTCCCTCAAGAGCTCAGTTTCTTGAGGAGACCAGACAGACATCAGATGCCAAGTGCCATGTTTTGCTAAAGTTGCAAAATGAGCGAGTGGCATTATGAAGAGCTAGCAGAGTGAAAAGGAAAGAGCCAATCACGTGGGGTGGGGCAGTCAGGAAGGTCCATGGGCAAACTTGAGCTCCCCTGAAGAAAAAGGCAAGAGAAAGAGAAGGGAGAACACCTAACCAAAGAACCACCACGGAGGATGGGAAGAGGAGGGCACAGCCAAAATAAAGGCAGAGAGGCACAGATGGGGCCCAGCAGGAGGGACCCAGTCCGGGCTGGGATGCAGAGAAAGACATGCAGGAGGGTGTCAGTCAATCTGCAGAGTCCTGAATACCAAAGGGCCTGTAACTGCATTCTCTAAGCCTTAGAAGTACAGACTGAAGCTTCAGAGCAGGCCAAGTATTTCAGAAAGATTGATCTTTCCAAAATTCATCTTCTTTCCAAGAAGATGAACAGGAGGCCCAAGGAAGGTGGTTTTGCAAAGAAAAAAAAAAAAAATCCAAGAGAAAAGCAACAGAGGAAGCCAGGAAAATGGAAAGAAATATTGTAGCTGAAGATCTTAAAAAAAAAACAGATATGACTTTTGTGACAAGAGAAAAAAATGGCAAAAGCCTGCAATTCGCTGTTGAAGACACTGAGCAGTTGAGAGGGACAGCTTGATGGACAGAAGAGAGAAATTCAGTGCAGTGACAACAGGACAACCAAGCTGAAATATTCACACCTGCAGGACTGGGTTCTTTGGGAATTAGGCCAACACAAGACCTGGGCCAGGAAAAAGAATGGGTGAATTTCTGAAGAAACAGTCAAAGGAACAGAGAGACCTGGCTCTGAGGGCCTCTTCCCCACGAGCATAGGGTAAGGCAAAGGATAATTTGTCAGAGAGGCCAAGAAAGGGGAATTTTCATTTGGATGCCCAATAGTGTCCAATTCCACCAAGGACAAGACATCTTTGAGAACAAGCCTTGGATTTGGTGATCTGATAACTGGTAAACTTTGGGAAAGCACAGAGGAAGAATGGGACCAAAGTGAGTTTGTCAAAGTCATGAAGAATTATGAATGGCAAGATAAGAGCAATTAAGGAGAAACTGAGCAGAGGAAGGAACTGCAAACAGCACAGACTGGAGTGGGGAACTCTGGCCAAGCCTGAAGGTGGAAGGAAAGGAGCTAGTGTAGATAGGCCTGAATAGGAAACACAGGAGGGGAGGAGAAAGGCAGGGAACAGGGGGACCGAAGTCACCGTGGTACTAGGGAAACTAGAGGAGCCTGACAGAAGGTTCCTCAGGCTGGAGGAAAGTACTGTAACACTGGTGCACCAGTAGAGAGAATGATCCAGGAAGAGCGGGCATTCATTCCTCACCTCCATAGAGTGGGCTACCTGCCAAGAATGAAAATTTCAACGTAAAGCCATGGGCTGTTTTAAGCAAGGTGGAAGATAATCAGGATGGTCCCTTCTGTAGACTTACTGCTGCAACAGCACAGAATTCATCATATGTCCACCACCTCCCACATTCTTTGTATTTCCCTGAGATTTAGCTCAGAAACAACTCTCTTTAGGCTCTCTGTAATGGGGCAGAACATGACCTGAATAGATTTAAATAAAACTTCAAACAACAGTGTGATCCAAGACACAACCTTCACCTATCCCAGAGGAACCTACCAAATATCTCAAATTTTAATAATTCATGACATGGTAGGGAATGAGAATTTTTCCTAATTACTCTTGGCATCTTGTACCAGATGAGAGGACCATCAGATAGGTTAAGGTAAAATGCTCAGAGAGTACCGTGGTTTCTGTATAAAAGTCAACTGTGTCTATTTTAGTCAACAAAGACAAAATGCAGTTTGTGGGAAACCTAGCTCACAAAGGTCCTGTGAAAAAACTGCAGACCGTAACCAAAACTCTCCTACGTTTTCTTGCGTGAAGCATGAACTTGCCCTATTTCAAAAAGTTCCTATTGCGCATGGTTGGATGAAAGATCACACTGTTTCAAATCATATTTATAAAAAAATCTGTGATGGGAACAGTGGCCTTACTTCCAGAAACCCCGAGTTCAGTTTTATGTTCAGTACAACCAAATGGAAGTTGACTGACTGTGTCTCTAGTCATATAAAATATTGGAAAAGGTGAAGAGCTCCTGCTAGACAGGTTAGACTTGCAGGCAATAAAGCACGCTTTTAGCCTCTTGTTGTGGGTTACTGCTGAAGCCTTTAAGAGAATAA